CTTCAGCAACTTATCAGTGAACCAACTCGCGTTTCTAGCTTTTCTTCTACTATGATTGACCTAATTTTTACTAATTCTCCTACTAGGGTGGTTTGCTCAGGTGTCTCCCACATCAGCATTAGTGATCATAGTCTTATTTATGTTTTTCGTAAACTTGCAGTTGGTTTATCTATTAATCATCATTCAACTGTAACTTACAGAAAATTTAAAAATTTTAATTCCGCTAGCTTCCGCAATGACATTTCTTCTCAAGACTGGAACTCAATTAGTGAACTTACAGCCAATTGCAGTTGAGCTTGCAGCTTGCATTTTAAGCCCGTTCTCCACTAGGCGAATTTATTCGCGCGAACAGATAAAAAGTAGGAAGCGATCCTACTTTTTCGCCGCGAATTTTTTCGCCGACCAATCACGTTGCCGGATTTCGGTTTTCGCTTCGCGTCGCGCGAATAAATTCGCCTAGTGGAGACACAGGGGGTCCAACTAACAGCTTTGTTATGAATAAAACATATTAATTAAACGTAATATGAATAAAACATCATAACGTAATATTGCACTTACTTGTATAAATCATCAGAGCTTGCATTTTAATACAGTGAATAGCTTCAAAAACTTGCTTCGTTCCAAAGACTTCAAATATGGCGAATAAATTGACAAAACGATAATATTACATGACGTTCCAACGAAAATAACAGAAAGGATTGCGGGCGCGAGCGGAAAGGCGAGGAAAGAAATAAATAGAAGGGATGAAACAAATATCACGTGACTTTTTAAAATGCTTCTAAAGTATCCGTTTAAGCTTTTTGTGGGGTTTTTAAGGCTCAGTCGATGTTCTCTTACATGAACAAGCTTAGTCATTACCAAAAAAGCACTAATCAATCTAATTTATGTGATTTATAACAGCGAGCATTCTTGGCCATTATCGCGAGATGTGTTCCACAAGTAGCCTGTTCTCGTGACGTATGACGAAATAATAATAAAACTAAATAATGTAAAAAAAAACGTTGGTCGCTACATTTAAACATTTCATATTAGCCGGTATAGCTAAACATTGTTTATTTTCATTAATTAAGCTCGTAGGCGTGGTTGGAGTTGGCAGGAGGCGTTTTGGAATTTTCCGAGAGAACAGGCTACTTATGGAACACATCACACGATCGCATTACCGGTGTTTCATCCCTTCTATTAATATCTATTACCCTCGCCTTCCGCTCGCGCCCGCAATCCTTTCTGTTATTTTCGTTGGAACGTCATGTAATATTATCGTTTTGTCAATTTATTCGCCATATTTGAAGTCTTTGGAACGAAGCAAGTTTTTGAAGCTATTCACTGTATTAAAATGCAAGCTCTTATGATTTATACAAGTAAGTGCAATATTACGTTATGATGTTTTATTCATATTACGTTTAATTAATATGTTTTATTCATAACACAGCTGTTAGTTGGACCCCCTGTGTTCAAACTTAGACTTTTCTCTTCAAATATTAGAATTTACTCTTCGAAACATATAATTTACTCTTCAAAACTTAGAATTTGCTCTTCAAAATATCAATTAACTCTTGAAATCTTGGAATTTACTCTTCAAACTTAGAATTTTCTCTTCAAATATTAGAAATTTACTCTTCGAAACATAGAATTTACTCTTCAAATCTTAGAATTTACTCTTCAAAATATCGAATGTACTCTTCATATCTTGGAATTTACTCTTCAAACTTAGAATTTTCTCTTCAAACATTAGAATTTACTCATCGAAACATGTTTCGAAGAGTAAATTCTAATATTTGAAGAGAAAATTCTAAGTTTGAAGAGTAAATTACAAGATTTGAAGAGTAAATTCGATATTTTGAAGAGTAAATTCTAAGTTTTGAGGAGTAAATTCGATGTTTCGAAGAGTAAATTCTAATATTTGAAGAG